AAATAAATAAAAATTAAAAAAAAAGAAATAATGTTTCCTACAGAGAGATAAAAAGGAAGTAGTGAACTACAGTATTTGTAGAATGACTTCTCTGAACCACCTGAAAGAGGGTTCACCATTGGAGAATTACCACCAGGTGGCAACAGAGACTGTAGATTGTACAATGAATGAAATTTTCTAAGGGGATTAAGGAAGATTTAGATGAAAAAAAAAAGGACCCCTGCTTCCCCTTCCAGGGCTGCTTCCTGAGTTGGGTAGCTTCTACAACTTCTGTGATGACAAGCACTATGTCAGATGTTGGCTATTTTATGCATCATCGTCATATTCAATGCTGGACTGTCATAGTATGAAATTTATAGTGCTTTTATGATTTTTTTTGTTTTTAATTGATTAGGATGTTTTTCTTATGAGATTGAAAAGTAATCTCATTCCCAAAATTAGAGTGAAAACTATTACAGACTACAGGAGGTAAATCCGGTACATACCTATCAAAACTAAAAACAAAAATGAAAACAAAACAAAAGAGAGAAAAACAAAGTAGCTAGAATAACTCGAGGGGCTGGGGAGATGGCTCAGTGGCAAGCCCAAGGGCCTGAGTTCAATCCTCGGTTCCGGGGGAAGAAAAATTCAAACTAGAATAACTCGAGCTGGGATAGAATAACTCGAGCTGGGCATGGTGGCTAACGCCTGTAATCCCAGCACTCAGGAAGCTGTGGTAGGAGGATCTGTTAGAGTTCGAGACCAGCCTGAGCAACAAAGTAAGCTCAAGGCCAGCCTGAATTGCATAGCGAAACAGGGCGCACCCTTACAATTCCAGCATTCCAGTGGTAAGAGGCAGGATCACGAATTCCAGGCCGATCTAGGCAACAAACGGAGACCCAGTCTCAAGAGACCAACACAAACCCAAACAACGAAGAAAAAAAAAAGTCCATTCTATCTCTGTGACATCCGAAAAGGAATGACCCTCCCTCCCTCCTTTCTGTTGAGGCAGGCTGTATTTAGTCCAGCCCGCTCTCCCAGGGAATCACTATGCAATCTAGGCTGGCCTTAAACTCTCGATCCCACTCACCGCCTCAGCCTTTGGAGCGTTGGGGTTACCGACCTGAGCCACCACGCCCAGATCTAGAGTTCAGAACAAAATGAAGTGCACTTCTGTTGGTTTTCGAGGTTTATTTCCTTGAGTGCAGTGAAGATCTACATTTAAGATGACTGAGTCTGCTCATTTTAGGATGAAAATAAGATTGTCAATCTTCTTGAGCGAACTGGGGGCTCTGTGGAGCGCAGGTAGAGTCACCAGATCGCAGCTTGGAAGCGACTCTTTCTAGACAGGGGGCGTGGCTCGGTCAGGGAGGGGCGGGGCCACATGCTGCAGAAACAAATGCTTTTCGAACTGGTTTGACCCACGTTGCTGTCCGTAGAAGTGCTGAGTTGCCGCCTCTTGTCGGCGAGTGGTTGAAGTTCGCTCATGTGACCTCTAGGAGGCCGGAACTGGGTGGCTGCGTGAGGCGCAGGGTTTTGACCAAAACAAACGCCGACGGCGCGGAGGCAGGGTCTATGGCCGAGGCGGTGAAACCTCAGCGCCGGGCCAAGGCCAAGGCCGGCCGGACTAAACCCAAGGTGAGCTCCTGCCCGCCCCCGGGGCCCTGTCCTGTGCGCTCTGCGTCCCCTCTCTCTTTCCGCGCCCCCCAGCCGGCCCTACTGCCGTCCCTCGAGTCCGCATCCTCCGCCGCGCTTGCAGGGGCCGACCCCGCCGCCCATCGGTGTGGGCCCCGCGCGCGGCCCTCCCCCGCGCCCGCCGGCCGCGCTGTCTCCGTTCCCTGCTTTCTCCTGGCTCTGATCGCTGCGTTCTTCCTTTTAGCTCCCTTCTTACCTTCTTCACCGAAGAAGTCTGGTTTCCCACTGCGAAGCAGCTATTTTTCCCCCATCCCCGCCTCGGACTCCCTCTTTTTTCCTCCGTAACACGGAGCACTTGTTTCTCCCATGCGTAAAGAGGGCAGAGACCTTTCCTCCGTGCGGAGAAGTTATTTTTTGACCGAGTTCTGTCGAGAGAGCAGCAGCTATAAAGTAGACTGTCGTGCTGTGCCAGCCCTCTTCTCTTGCAGAATTCAGGGCCACCCTGGCGCTACTTGTGTTTACCTCTCTTTGTCCTGGTTGTTTACGGTGGAGCACGACTGTCTGGATGTTTTTTCTTTTTTTTTTTTTTTTTTTTTTTTTTTTCTCTCGGAACCGGGGATTGAACTCAGGCCCTTGCGCTTGCCAGGCAAGCGTTTATTCTACTGAGCTATCACCCCAGCCTCTGTCTGGATGTTAAGGCAGGAGTTTCACAGTAGGAGCATATTTGAATTTTTCCTATTACCGGGGTTGAGCTGTATGTAATATTAGTGTGCTTTTGAGTTGATTTGTTTAGATGTAGTTTTATTTTGTTGTTATGTATTTTCTAGAGAGGACAGATTAAATGGTACCCCTAAAAGTCTTCCTTTACCTGGACAAGAATTTACGTTAAGTAAACCATGAGAATGGTATGACAAGTACAGAAAAATTCCTTTTTCAGAAGTGGATGATGTTTTAGAACAGGTGTTAACCTAAATATGATGGCATAATCTGATTTTTTCATGGGAACACAGTTTTTATTTTTATTTTTATTTTTTATTTTTTTTGGGGGGGAACAAAGTTTTAATAGTGTAATCGGTACCATAGTTAGTAAGCCATTGTGGTTTATGTGGATCCTTTTCACTGTGATGAGTTTTTATAGCACTATACGGAGTTAGGCAAATCATTGTACCCAAGTCTGTGACATGTTACTTTTTCATGTAATCCCAAAGTGGTGGGATTACAAACATTTTTTTTTTTTTTTAAATGTCTTTAGTACAGGTTCTGCAGGGTCTCACTACATAGATTGGACTCTGAGTGATCCTCCTGTTTTCAGCCTCCCAAACGCTGGGATTGCGGGGTGCACCACCACACCCAGTCTCAATCACCCTCTCAGCGTGTCCCAGGGGCAGGGATCGATAAACAAATGGTGTTAAGAAAAATAATTTTAGCTGAATGTGGTGGTACATATCTGTAATCCCAGCAACTTGGGAGACAGAGGCAGGAGGATCATTGCAAGTTAGAGACTCGACTGGGTTGCAAAGTGAGCTCAAGGCCAGCCTGAACTGCATAGGGAGACCCTGTCTCAAAAAGACTGAAAAAAAGAAAATAGTGTTTTTTTTTTTTTTGTTTGGTAAAGAAGTATCTAGGCAGTGAAGGAAGAAAAAAATAATCACTGGTTAGCCATACATAAGATCTCCAAATACAGAGCAAAATTGTACATAGTACATACACATTATCTGTAGAGAGCAGAATGTTTTTTTAAAAATCAGATTTTATTTTAGGCATATGTAGCAATCACATTCATAGACAGTTTGTTCCTGTACATGATACAACACTTTTTCCCACTCCCCTCAACCTCTCTTACCTTTCCCATTTACAAAAGTTTTGTTTCCATGTTTTCCTTTTCTCACATTTTAAAGTTTTCCCTTCTTTCCTTCCTCAGGCCCCTCTCCCTTGTTCACCCTCCACTGGAACATTTTCTTCCTATTTCCCAAATGTATTATGCATTTTGGTCCTGACACTTTCCGTTTCTCACACCAGAGAAACAATGCAGTATTTACACATATGTGTCCAGTTTATTTCATTTAAGGGTATGGTCTCAAGGTGCATTCATTTTTTTTTAAGAAACATCTCAAGTGTATCCTTTATGGCATAGTAGTATTCCATTATATAAAAGACATGTTTATTCATTCATGAGTTCATAGGCATTTGGGCTGGAGAACAGAATCTTGATCTCTAGACTTTTTTCTCTAAGTAAATGATGAAACCAAAATTTAGAGAGGTTAAATGATACCCCCAAATTATGTAGTTAGCAAGAAAATGGGTTAGAGCGAGAAATCATGACTCTACAATAGTTTCATAATTACTTCATGTCTGTCATTGATAGAATGTTTTAAATGCTTAAAAACATTAAAGAGGATTCTCTCAAGTTATTTTGTGTACGTGAATTTCTAAATTAAAAAGTTAAAAATCTTAGGTTTTTAAATTACAAAAAGCCAATTGCTTATTTTATTGACACATTTCAGGCAGCATTGCTATATAAATACATAGCAATTTATATTCTTAGTTATTTTTTGTTTATTAAATTTTAGTATTTATTTGCAGGACCTTATAATTACATTCATTAGGTAGTAAATATATATATTTACTACCTAATTCTTATGTCCCCTTTTCCTTCCCTCCTGGATGCATCCCCCCATTTCCCCTGCTTACATCTTTTTTTTTTTCCTATTGTCCTCTATTTTGCTCTTTATTTCTGTTTTGTGTTTCTCATTTCAGAGAAACCATACAACAGTTAAAGTTGTATGTCTTCACTTTTTAAATTTTTTATTGGTATTGGGAATCAAACTTACAACCTCCTGCTTGCCAGGCAGGTGCTTTGCTGCAGAACTAAATCCCTGGCCCTCCAGTATGTTTTCACTATTTGCTCTCTAGTTTCATTCATTTATCTACAAATGACTCAAGTTTATTCTTCCTTATGGAAGATTAGTATTCTATTATATATAAATAGAATATATATTTATATTCCACCACGTTTTCAACCAGGCATGCTAGCACACATCTATAATTCTAGTACTAGGGAGCCTGAGAGGCAGGAGGATTGAGGCCAGCTATTTTGAATTGTGCTGCTATGAACATGGGTATGCATGTTTCACTGTAATACAGACACCTGGAAGGATAGCTGGGTGGAATGGAATTTATGGTTTAGTTTTTTGAGGAATATTCATGCAGATTTCCATAGAGGTTGTACTAGTTTACTTTTCCAGCAATGAGGAAGGATTCTTTTTTTTCACTGAAACCACCAGAATTTCTTAACTGATTTTGTTTTTGTCTTTTTGGGATAGGATCTTAACTATGCAGTTCAGACTGGCCTTGAGCTCACTTTGTAGCCAAGGCTAGTCTTGAACTTCAACGATACTGCTGCCCAACCCCCAATCCTACTCCTGCCCAACCCAAGTGCTGGGATTACAGGCAGATACTGGGAGTATAGTGTACACCACCACGCCTGGCACCTGGCTTCTTATCTGGCATTTTGATAATAAACATTCTTTATGGGGTAAGATGGGATCTGGGTGTTCTTTGAATTGCGCACGTGCGAGCGTGCGCACTTGTGTGTTTTGAGATAGGGTCTCACTAGGCAGGTCAGGCTGTCTTTGAATTCACTGTGTAGCCCAGAGTAGCCTCAAAATCATAGCAATCCAGCCTCTCCAATGCTGGGATTACAGGTGTGTGGTAACCATGTCTTGCAGGTTGACATTTTTTTAATGGCCATAGATGTTGAACATTTTTATCAGGTATTTATTGGCCATTTATATTTCTTTTTCTGAGCAAGTCTCTGTTCATTTTAGCTGCCCATTTTTTGATTGGGTCTTTTATTTTGGGGATTCTAATTTTTTTGAATTCTTGATATATTATAGATACTAGTCCTCTCAGGAATAGCTGGCACAATATTTTTTTCCCAGTCTGTAGGTCATCTCTGTACTCTGTGTTTGCATTGCTATGTAGAAGATTTTCACTTCAGTATGATCCCAGTTGTTGACTCTTGTGTATCTCTTGTGCAATTTGGCGTCTATCTAGAAAGTTTTTGCGTACATCTATAAGAGTTCTAGTTTATCTTCCAGCATGTTAAGCATTTCTGTTTCAATATTTAAATCTTTAATCCATTTTTAGTTTAGTTTAGTATAGTTCAGTTATTTGCATGTGGAAAGCCACTTTTCTCAACACATTTTGTTAAAGAAGCTGACTTTCTTCCAGTGCAAGTTCTGGGCCCTTTTGTGAAAGAACAGGTAGCTGAATGTGCTTGGAGTTATTTCTTTGTCCTCTATTCTGTTCCAGTGCATGTCTTTTTTTTTTTTTTTTTTTTTTTTCTGCTTTTTTTTTTTTTTGGCGGAACCAGGTATTGAACTCAGACCCTTGCTCTTGCCAGGGAAGCCCTCATTTTACTGAACCGTCTCCCCGGCCCCAGTTTTTGCTGTTTTTGTAAGTGTGAAATTGTGATACTTCTGCCTTGCTTGTTGCCCAAATTGCTTTTGCTTTTCTGAGTCTTTTCTGATTACATCCATGAATTTTAGTATTGTCTTCTTTAGTTGTATGGGGAGTGCTATTGCTCTTTTGACTGGGAGTGTGTTAAAGCTGGATATCTTTTGGAAGTATGACCATTTTGATTGTATTAGTTTTGTCTATCCAGGAACAGGGATTATCTTTTCCTTTTCTGATGTTCTCTCTTTTTTTGGGGGGGTTGAACTCAGGCCCTTGCGCTTGCCAGGCAAGCGCTTATTTTACTGAGCCATCTCCCCAGCCCCTGATGTTCTCTTAAGTCTCCTTTTTCAAAGTACTGTTGTAGAGGTTTTTCACTTTCTTGGTTAGGTTAGTGTCTAGATATTTAATTGTTCTTGATGCTGTTGTGAATGGTATTGTTTCCCTTGATGCTGTTGTGAATGGTATTGGTGGATAGGAATGCTATTGATTATTGTGTGTTGACTTTATATCCTGCTATGTTACTAAATTTGGTTATTCTAGGAATC